CTCGAATGATTCGATGGCGTGAATCGAATGATGGCATCGAATCATTCGATTCACAGCATCAGATATCACTTGATTCACGTCATGCGACTCAATTCGATTCAGCGCATTCGAACCTTCGATCACGCATCGAATCAGTGTCGATCACCGCATCGAAATCCTTCGATGGCATCATTCGAATGCGGTGAATCGAATGAATTGCGATGCGTGAATAGACATCGATTCGACTGCGTGGAATCGAATGATTCGATGCATTCATTCCGATTGCACCGCATCGAATCATTCGATCACGCAATACGAATGCATCTCGATTTACGCATTGCGAATGATGGCATCTGAATGATTCGATGCGTGAACTCGAATGAATTTCGATGCGTGCATCATGCGAATGATTTCCGATGGCGTGAATCGACTGAAGGCATCGACATCATCGAATTCGCCGCGCATCCCGAATCATTTCGATATTCAAGCGCATGCGCGAATGGATGCATCGAATGATTCGATGCGCCGTGAATCGAATGATTCGATGCGTGAATGCGACTGCAATTCGTATGCGTGAATGGCGAATGATTCCGAATGCGTGAATCGAATGATGCATTGCGAATCATTCGATCGTCACGCCCATCGACTCATTCGATTCACGCAATCGAATGCATTCGATCACCGCATCGAAATGATGCATCGAATCATTGCGATTGCACGCATCGAATCATTCGATTCACGCATCGAATCATTCGATTCGACGCTATGCGAATGATTGCGATGCATCATTCGATGCGTGAAGTCGAATGATTCGATGCGTGAATCGGATGAGTTCGCAATGCGGTGAATCGAATTCATTCGATGGCCGCTGAATTGGCGAATGATGCCCTCGAATCCATTCGATTCGCGCTCGAATCTGATTGCGATTCACGCGTATCGGAATGATGGCATGCGAGGATGAATTCGAGTGCGTGAATCGAATGAGTTCGATGGCCGTGAATCGCAAGTGATCTCGACTGCGTGAACTAAAATAATATGGGCGATAAATCCGAATGGGTTATCAGGTGTGATAAATCGTTTATGTTATATGTGATAAATCGAATGTTAATAGTTGTCCGATAAATTCAAAGCCATGGAACAAAAAATTCGAATAGTGACACCAAACGAACATGCCTATAGAAAGCCGAACCTACCTATGTTTAATCACACTTTCAAATCCTATTTTAATCGGCGATTAACAAAGCTAGCTGGTTTCTGATTGGCTTGGCAATTCAATCTCTGCTTGACAATAAGCAATTTATTAAGGCCGGCGTATTACGAAATAGGTAGGTTTTAGGCGGTAATGGCGCTTTCATGACGTTCTTGGTAATGTATGTGGCCGATAAATTCTAATTCGGCGGCAGCGTATTTGAGACGGAGCATGGGCGGCCTCGGTTAAACATTGGGCATTTATCTAATCAGCTGCGGTGAATATCGTTTCTATCTATTCTATCTATCTATCTCTTTATCTATGCTATGCTATCTATTCTATTCTATCTATGCTATGGCTATGCTATCTTACTCTATCTTATCTATCTATCTATCTATTATCTATCTATCTATCTACTCTACTCTATCTATTATGCTATCTATCTACTCTGATCTCATCTATCTATCCTATGCTATCTCATGCTATCTATCTATCTTTATCTATCTCATCTATCTATCTGATCTATCTATTCTATCCTATCTATCTATCTATCATATATTCTATCTATCTATCTATGCCTATCTATTTATCTATTCTATTATCTATCTATCGGTATTATCTATCGTATGCTATCGCGAATCTATGTATCTATCTATCAATCTAATCTATGCTATTCTATCGTACTCGTCGAGCTCCTATCTAGTCTATTTAGTCTTCTCTATCTATGCTTAGTCTATCTGATTCTATTCTTATCTATCTATTCTATCGTATCTATCTATCTATGCTTATCTATCTATCTATCTATCTATCTTATCTATCTATCTATCTAGTCTATCTATGTATCTATCTATCTCCTCTATCTATCTATCGTATCTGCCCACATCTAATGGCTACTCTAGTCGGTATCTATCTCTCTATCTATCTATCTATCTATCTGATCTATCTAGGTGCTATCGTATCATATCTCTATCTATCTATCTAACTCTATTATCTATCTATCTATCTATCTATGCTATGTCTTATCTATCTATCTATCTATGCTATCTATCTGTTATCTATCTATCTACCTATGCTATCTACTATCTTATCTTTCTATACTTATCTATCTATCTATCTATCTCGTTTTATCTATCTCTCTACTATCTTCTACCTATCTATCTATGCTATCTATCTTTCTATCTATGGCTATCTATCTTATCGATCTATTAATATACGTATATTTTCAAATATATAATATATTAAAGTTTAAACTAGTAGTAGTTATAATATATAATATATTATTACTACTACGAGGGAGTATTTTATAATAAAGACAAAGGTAAACGTGATGTATTTCGTGTATATGTTCAGAATAGTACAGAGATGTCAATAATTTACAAATGCCCTTATTTTTAATCAGGAAATAGTTTTAAAATATGTCAATTTTGTCATGATTTTTCAATGTTTTAGTAAGCACGACGAGAGGGTACAAAGAAGGAGATGTGAAGTGGTGAGAAAGGCAGCCATGGTCATAGCAGCGTATAACTAAGGTTTAAGCGCGAAGTCTGTTGTGTTGATAAGCAGCCGCATTAATGAATAGCGCGGCAGCCACAACAAATATAAAGCAGGGAAGAAACGCAAGTGCCTGCCTATCTGTAGTGTATGAAAGAGTGACTGGAAGTGGGTGCACGAATGCGTCAAATTGGCTTGTAATGCATAAGAGCTCATTCATTTTACCGCGGGGGAGTGGCGCGCTGGGCGCATCTGAGTAAGCGATGATTAATTGACCCGCGGTTCCGAGACGCCGTAGCATCTTACAATCTAAATGTGGCAAAAGTCAGCATAAAGCCCTCGATCTGCTATTATGTTCATATTGATCGGTGTTTGCTCGGTTCTATATGCTTGGCGTTGTTTTATGGTGTGATGATATAAGTCCTCGCCTCTCGTGGTACAAGTTTACGGTTTGGTCATCATATATTTCTGAATGTACCACAAATAGGGCAAAAATGCTTGTCACCCTACTTACTATATGACTAGTAAAACAATAGATTATTTCCCATTTATCTGGCCGCTGCTTTTCGCCGACACAGTTGAAGCTAGGCGCGAGTTCAACATTAAGGCCTTATTGCCATCATCTCTTACGCCATACCAACCGCGTATGTAACGCACATCGTGATCGATAGCTTTAAGTGAACAACGCCGTTTAGATTTTGTTATGGTCGGATCGATTTTCGGTTTTCCCCTTGCGATTTTCGCGGTTAATTGCTATCGGCTATATGATAATCGCACTAACAAAGTGAAGTAGAATTAAGTCTACGCGGCCGTGTTCCGCACCCATCCAGTGATCGATAAGCTCCATGCGTATTTGGCTGTGACATTTCTATACTGGTGCGTTAGCGTAAATGTGGTCGACCGGTAAGGCTTGGCGGCAGCCATGACGGTATTCGCCGTACGGCTGCAATGACCGAGAGGAACGATCGCTGCCGATGGCACTAAATCTCGATCCTACTTCTGTATGTGGAATACAACGAACTGGACAATTTCGTTAAGCCGTTTCTAGTGATTCAATGCACTGGGGCGCAACTGAATGTAGCAATCCAGTCTTGCTCGCAATGCGTCGCACCATTGGTACGCCGCTATAGAATTCTTTCGGCTGTATTACGACGTAAATCGAGAACACGCCTTTGGTTAGCAGAAGGCAATCGAGGCTTCTGTATATATTTCTACGGTCACATTATATTATTATACATTATAATGATATTCTTGGCTGTGGGCAAAATTTATATTTTGCCCACAGCCAAGATCGAGCGTTTACACCCGATAGAGGGCGCAGCGCATGCCCGTAGATCTGCCGACGGACGATAACGGATAATGTTGTTATTCTGATGATGTACTTGAACTGCTTCACTGTCTTCAGAACAGTAGTGTAGTTGTTTCTTAGGTTTAGCTTTGCATCGCTTCGAACGTGGATGTATATCACTTTAGTAAATGGGGCAGTTGTTTTCGCTACCTAGTGCTCCTTCCGCGAGTGGTGCTGAAAGTATACGCAATTACGGTGGTATGTCACTATCACTATCAATCAGTATCATGTATGATGTAGGACAATCACAATTAGATACAATAATGTAACCCAAACCCCTATCCTCTTGGGTTTGGGTTACATTATTGTATCTAAATCACAATGTGTAGATAATAATGTAACCCAAACCCAGGATAGGGTCAGGACTCGAATTAAGCGACGGGAAGGGCAAGGCAATTTTTTTAGGGCATGTGAGAAATCGCCTTGAATTTTCTCTAACATAGAAGGGCACAGAGGCAACTCTCAAAATTTGAGAAGGGCACCAAGGCACTTTTGTAAAATAAAGGAAAACTCATAACAAATTAGCACATCAACATCGTCTTGTTTTTAATGTACAAAACAACATGCCCCCATGTAAGCTTACATCGTAACACCGACCCCTGTACCCCCTCTGCTAATGGAAGTAGAGTAACAAGAAATTTTACATGCCCGCTATCAGGAGCGAATAATTATCCGATGCTGTTATTATTCCCTTCTGCGACTATCGGTTTTTAGCTCATCATTGCAACTACAGCACGCACGCGCACGTGTTATGTTGATTCGACTAAAAACGAAACTAGGGCAGTAGATTAAAGGGCACCGACGGCAATTACACAAAAGGGCAAGGCAGGTGACTGCCGTCGGTCGGGTTGCATTTTCAGGGGCAGTACGGCGATTGATAGGGGCACCGACGGCAATTGCCGTCGGTGCCGTCGGTTAATTCGAGCCCTGGATAGGGTTATAACTTATATTACTATTAGACATCCAGGTCGACAACCAAGGTCGACGACCCCCCCTATCTTGGGTTTGGGTTACATTATTGTATCTAGACAATGTGTTGCAAACGAAGGCCAAATTCGTTGGCCGCATTTCTTGACGACACTTGTTCAGTATTCATACATTTTATGATTTTTATAGAATAATCATGTTATTGCCATATATGTACATTCATATATATTCTATAGACAGGTTCGTAGTTATCAGACTAGTCTGTACCAAGTCCAAGGAGCTAAATATAACAAGGAGAGGAAGCGCCGCCATATCTAGCCCAAATTTGGGTTCGGCAGAGACCCTAGAACAGATTACTGAGATTAGTGTTCTATTGAGTATTGTGTCTGGGTTCGGTCTGCACAGCCGTTTCAGCTGATTATGGTCCATAGATGATAGATAGTAATAAACATCATCCTATCCTATCACCGTCCTGGACATCATCTCTATTCTTGAACCAAATTTCGTGCCACGTGACGTAGTGAGAAGCGAGAAAGTTACTTGTAAATGTTGCTATGTTCGTGCCGGGGTGGCTCAGAACGAACAAAGCTAGATTGGAACCCCGCAAATGTGTTTTCGCATATATTCTAAACTAATCCGGGTTGTCAAATTAGGCTTAGGCTGCACTGAACGTGTAGAATTGAAGTGAGGTCTCACTATATCTATATATATAAAGTTGTTCCGCCGAATTAGTCCGTACTTGCATAACTAGAGAACTCCACAGCCTAGAGGAAAACTAAAGATATTTTCAGAATCAGCACGTCTGGGAGGTGGTTCTGGCTGAAACAAAAATTTAAAAAAGTTAAAAATTGATAAAAAAAATTATTCATCAATAGATGGCAGTGCGTACAGATTAACATCACGTACGTGTGAATCCATTCTGTATACACTTAACGGCGCAGTGGCCTAATCGTTAGAATATCCGTCTCCTACACCGGGATTCCGGGTTCGAGTCCCAGCTGGGGACCTTATTTTCCCCTTTTTTTCATTTTTTTCCCTTTACCTATCTCTTTAGTACAGGGCTCGACTTTAACGGTGGCCCGGGTGCCAATGGCCACCTGAAACGGCGTCGGGCCACCTGAAACTGTCAGGTTGGGGCCCGCCTGGCCACCAATAAAAATAAGGCCGTGGCTACGCGACCGGTTCCGGACAAGGAGCCGCTAGGCTACGCGTCTGGACATCCATCTCACACAGAGATCTTGTGACATGTACACGCATGATTACGCAAGGGGACGCTCTGCTGATTGCCAAGTGTGTGTGTACGTGTGCGTGTGTGCATATGCGTGTGAGCGTGCGCGTGTGCGTGTGTACGCGTGTGTGTGTGTGTTTGCCGTGTGTGTGCATGTGCGCGTGCGCACGCGTGTGTGTGTACGTGTGCGTGTGTGCATATGCGTGTGCGCGTGCGCGTGTGCGTGTGTACGCGTGTGTGTGTGTGTGTTTGCCG